TTTTTTTTTTTTTTAACTAAAAGAGTTGACAATTTTATTTTCACATTTCACAATACAAATGAAAACTGCACTTTTTGAAATCCTATTTCCCCCCAAAACTATTCTTTCTTTGATAAGAAGGGGGAGCAAGTCTTCTTTGTCATGCTGTTAGAAAACACCCAGAGTCACAGCACCATGATCTCCTGGTGAAGCAGAACAAGCGATACAGAACTGCTAGGAAGAGGCCTCCCCTCTCTCCTTATTTGTCCGGCTGAGTCATTCCTGGACGAGTGGGCACCATCATGGGACGGGCAGGAGGTCTCATCATTGGGGGCCCCGGCATCATTGGCATATGGCCTCCCATGGGTGGCCACTATGAGTTTTTTTAATAATGAATTAGGTTTGGATTTATCATAACTTTCTGTTTATTGAAGTCATCATGTGATTTTTTGACCTTTTATTAATATCATGAATTATATTGATTGATTTACTAGTGATATGCTAACCTTGCAGTCTTTCATTGGTTAAGATTTAAATCAGTCTTGAAGGGGCCAGAGTGTGGCACAGATTAAGTTTTTTTTTTTTTTTAAAGATTTATTTATTTATTTGAAAGTCAGAGTTACACACAGAAAGAGAGGCCAAGAGAGAAAGATCTTCCATCTGCTGGTTCACTCCCCAAATGGCCTCAACAGCCCAAGCTGTGCTGATCCGAAACCAGGAGCCAGGAGCTTCTTCCGGGTCTCCCACATAGGTGCAGGGGCCCAAGGACTTGGGCCATCTTCTACTGCTTTCCCAGGCCATAGCAGAGAGCTGGATTGGAAGTAGAGCAGCTGGGTCTTGAACTGGCGCCCATATGGGATGCTGGCAACTGCATGCGGCGGCTTTACCCGCTACACCACAGTGCCAGACCCACAGATTAAGTTTTAATTTTGGTCATTCTGCTTTTTATTTTGAAAATTCTAGTTAGGGAGAAGATGTTTAGCCTAGTGATTAAGATGCCTGTATCACACATTGGAGTGTTCGCATGTTCCTGCTGGTAGACCTTGGAAGGGAGTGATGATGGCTCAAGCAGTTGGGTTTCTGCTTCCCACATGGGAGATCTGGACTGAGTTTTTGGCTTCTGGCTTTGGGCCAGGCCAGCCCTGGCCATTGCTAGCACTAGGAGCATGTACATTTTCCCTTTCAAATAAATTTTAAAAGTTTAAATATTCTAATTATTGTTCTACCTTTAATAGTTTTTTGTTCCCTGAAAATATTGCTAAACTTGCTTTTTGTTTCTTTAAACATCTCGGGTCTCCTCTGGTAGTTAGGATCTGAAGTCTGCTCTTTCAGGTAGTTTCTGCTCACATCACTGTGTTTTCCTGGTGCCGGGTTTTATTTGACTTGTGGTTGTCAGTACCGTGAAAATCATAATTTTTCAGGATATCCTGAGACCTTGGAAGAAAGTACCTGCCCTTAGGATAGATTTTTATTTACTTCTGCTAGTGCTTGAATACTGCTTGTAAAACACTCCAAATCAAGGTCAAGACGTGTAAGCCCTTGGCTGCTTAGACCATATATTCCCAGCTGAAAATATGCGGGCTTTCTGGAATCCAGCCACAGGTTTACAGATTTTTTTCCTTTCCTGTTTCCCTTTGACTTTGGTTGGTGTCAACTCAAATTTCTTAGCAATCATCTGGGCTGAAGAATAGGTGGGTTTAGTTTGGGTATACATTTTGGAAAAAATGAGAAATCATCCATAAACCAACAACAAGTACAGTAACAATTATATACTTATGTGGATCTGTTAGAAAACATTTTTTTTTTTGACAGGCAGAGTGGACAGTGAGAGAGAGAGACAGAGAGAAAGGTCTTCCTCTTGCTGTTGGTTCAACCTCTAATGGCCGCCGCGGCTGGTGCGCTGCGGCCGGCGCACCACGCTGATCCGGTGGCAGGAGCCAGGTACTTATCCTGGTCTCCCATGGGGTGCAGGGCCCAAGCACTTGGGCCATCCTCCACTGTACTCCCTGGCCACAGCAGAGAGCTGGCCTGGAAGAGGGGCAACCGGGACAGAATCTGGCGCCCCAACCGGGACTAGAACCCGGTGTGCCTGCACCGCAAGGTGGAGGATTAGCCTAGTGAGCCGCGGCACCGGCCTGTTAGAAAACATTTTCCATGCATGTTTTAAAAAATGTTTGTAATCATTTATAATTACACTGTATTTTATTTTAAAATTATATTTATCTTTATATAATTGAGTTATCTGCATAATGTGAATAGTGAAACTAGAGTGTGGATGACACTGTCTGTGGATGATGTTTAAAGAGGAGAGGAGAAAAGACAAAGTCCAAATTTTGTGGAGCACACTTTGAGGTCTGAGAGAATAAAAGTCTACAATCTAAGGGAAACAAACAAGTAGGAGATGTAAGCAAAAACTTCAGAAGTAGGTGATTAATGCAAATAAAGAAGAAAATTTGAATAAAAAGAATGGGATGCAGTTGTGGTATACCACAGAAATCGAGTAGCACAGGCTCTCTAAAGTGTTCTTGGACTGGTCGACATGATGTCGTTAAACACTTCGGCAAAAGTAGCTTCAGAAGTGAGGACACAGGAGAAGCACCGAATTAAAGAGTGATAGGAATCTAAAACACAGAGATGGAACTGTTGACTACTCTAAAAAGGCAATTTTACCTTCAAAGGGGGAGTAGCAGGTTGGGAGGTAGAAGTTTCTTGTTAAAGATAAAGAATGCCTGAGTCGGTTTATAACAGTGGGCAAAGGAGTGGTCGAGAAGGACGGTTGCAGATTATGCGAGTGGATAATTAAAGGTCTGAGACCTCATGGGTGGTGAGAAGGAATGGGTTTCCTACTTTAAATCATTTAATCAGTGGTTTAGTATTGGAGGTTCAGAATTTTCCTGAGTAGAACAGGGTGCAGCAGAACAGGTGGACTTGGGGCCAATTCCCCTTATGTATTCCGTGCATTCCAGGGGTAATTACCAGATTATTTTGCCTTAGAGCACCTCAGCAAGTATGAGCATTATGTGGAAAATGCCGGGTTTTCCCCCATAGCTATTTTTGGATTTTGCAAGTCTGCTGAAGCTCTGCGGTGGTCTTTGCCTTGTTCCTCATAGTTGTGAAGTGAAACATTAAAGCTGGCCTTATTTCTCTTAACCTTTGTACAGTTTTTATCACTCCAGAAATCTCTGTGCTCTGAGCTTCCAGTGTTGGTCTAGTCCTTCTGCAGATGATTGTCACTTATTTTTTATCATTATAAATTATCTGGTTTTGTTTGTCATACTTTTTTCTTGAAGATATTTTATTTAATATTAATGAGGCCAGTCTAGTCACATGGTAAATGTGTGGCATATCCCTTTTTTATCAATTTATTTTCTCTTTCTTTAAAGTGTGCCCTTGTAGAAGAGTTATTGTTGGATGCTCTTTTACCCATTTTAATAATCTCTGTATTTTTTAAAGCTTTATTTATTTGAAAGTCAGAGTTATACAGAGGAGAGGCAGAGGGTGGGGGGAGGTCTTCCATCTGCTGGTTCACTCCCCAATTGGCTGCAACAGTCAGAGCTGTGCCGATCTGAAGCCAGGAGCCAGAAGCTTCTTCCTGGTCTCCCACTCGGGTGCAGGGGCCCAAGGACTTGGGCCATCTTCTACTGCTTTCCTAGGCCATAGCAGAGAGCAGGATTGGAAGAGGAGTAGCCGGGTCTCGACCAGTGTCCATATGGGATGCTGGCACTGCAGATGGCGGCTTTACTCGCTGGGCCACAGTGCTGGCCCTGGTGTAATATATGTTTAGTTTTGTGTTCTCCAATATGCTGTTTTCTGTTAGTCCCTTCTGATTTTGTTCCTCTGTTCCCTTTTATCTGTTGCCTTTTGAATGATTTTAATGTTCTTTAGAATCCTTTAATTTGGGTATTTGCTTTTTTAGTGGTGCTGTGAAGATTACAGTATGCATACTTAACTTTTCTTACTCAGAGTTAATAGTGTATCTTTCATAAAATATAGAAACCTAGCAATGATATAAGACATTTTAGCTTCTCCTATGCCACTGCTTATGATATAGTTTTCATTTGTATTAAATCTCATATAATATAAAACCCATGGGGCAGGTGCCGCGGCTCACTAGGCTAATCCTCCGCCTTGCGGCACCGGCACACCAGGTTCTAGTCCCGGTCGGGGCGCTGGATTCTGTCCCCTCTTCCAGGCCAGCTCTCTGCTGTGGCCAGGGAGTGCAGTGGAAGATGGCCCAAGTGCTTGGGCCCTGCACCCCATGGGAGACCAGGATAAGTACCTGGCTCCTGCCTTCGGATCAGCGCGGTGTGCCGGCTGCAGCACGCCAGCCGCGGCGGCCATTGGCGGGTGAACCAACGGCAAGAGGAAGACCTTTCTCTCTGTCTCTCTCTCACTGTCCACTCTGCCTGTCAAAACAAACAAACAAACAAACCCACAGCACAAAGTTATTATACTTTTGTCTAAATAATCATTAAATGTTTTAAAGAAACTAAGAAGTTAAAACCAATAATTTTCATTTACCTAGACATTTATCATTCCCAGTGCCATTAATTTGTTCCTAAAGAGCTGAGTACTTCTTACTTCAACCTAAAAGCTTCATCTAGCACCTCTTGTAATGCAGATATGCAGCAGTGATTTATGTTAGTTTTCATTTTTCTGAAAATATATTTATTTCTCTTGAATTTTTACCAATATTGTATCTGAATTAACATATTTATTTTTCTTCCAACATTAAAAAAAGTTCTTCCGTGGCCTCCTAATGTCCATAGTTTCTGATGAGAAGTCTACAGTAAGTTGAGTTATTGTTCCCTGTCTGTTATACTATTGTTTTTGTTAGTCTTTTCGGAATGGGAATGGAGAAGCACTGATTTCAAGGTTTCCAACTTATCTTTGCTTATAAATTTGACTATGATACACTGATTTATGGTTTCTTTCTTTCTTTTTTTATTTTTTATTTTTTTGACAGGCAGAGTGGACAGTGAGAGAGAGAGAGACAGAGAGAAAGGTCTTCCTTTACTGTTGGTTCACCCTCCAATGGCTGCCATGGCTGGCGCATCGCGCTGATCCAAAGCCAGGAGCCAGGTGCTTCTCCTGGTCTCCCATGCGAGTGCAGGGCCCAAGCACTTGGGCCATCCTCCACTGCACTCCCGGGCCATAGCAGAGAGCCGGACTGGAAGAGGAGCAGCCGGGACAGAATCCGGCGCCCTAACCGGGACTAGAACCCAGTGTGCTGGCACCACAGGTGGAGGATTAGCCTATTGAGCCACAGTGCTGGCCTATGGTTTCTTTCATAGTTATCCTCTTTAGGATTTACTGGGTTTATTGAATTTATAGATTTATAAACTTTACTAAATCTGGAAAAAAATTTTGTCCTTTTTTCCTCAAAATTTTTAGTTTTAATTTCTCTCTCCTCTTCTGGACTTCAATTAAATACATATGAAACCTTTATATATTTTCCAGTTTTACTATAGTATGGTTAAAGTTCCATTTTTAAGAATATATATTCCTTCTGTATTCTATATTGTTCTGTAAGTCTCTGAGACTCTATTTTATTTCAATTCTTTCTCCCTTCAGATTGGATCATTTCTATTGATCTGTTCTCGATTCATGGACTTTGGCATCTCTTATCTCCATTCCTTTTATTGTTAAGATTGATTTATTTATTTGAAAGGCAGAGTTACAGAGAAAGAGAGACAGAGCATGAGCAAGATCTTCTATGTGCTGGTTCACTCTCCAAATGTCTGCAACAGCCAGGGCTGGGCCAGGCTGATCCTAGGAGCCAGGAACTTCTTCTAGATCTCCCATATGGGTAGCAGGGGCCCAAAGACTTGGGCTTCCTTCCTGCTTTCCCAGGCACATTAGCAAGGAGCTGAATCAGAAGTGGAGCAGCCCAGGCTTGAATTGGTGCTGCAGGCTGCAGCTTAGTCCTCTGTTCCACAGTGCTGGCCCCTCCATTCTTTTATTAAGACCAGCTAATACTTTTGTTTTAGATATTATACTTTCTTAGTACTCAGATTTCCATTGACTCTTTTTTTCCCCCAATTTTAAATACAGGTTTATTTAAGACAGTGTGTTGTCCACTTAGATACAGTGCTTATAAAGTGCAATGTTATCTTGTTTCCTTGTGCACATGTTCCATATTCAAGTATTGAGAATGTCCAGTAATTTACTATAGCAGCTGAACTTTGAAACTGCCACAGAACTTGCTACAAATGTGGGTCCTTCCATCTTTTACTGTGTGGAACAGTGCTGTGTCTACACTGGGCTTGGCTTGATCAGTCTCTTCACTGTGGGTGCTGAAGAAGCACCACCAGATGGAGGAGCTCCCCGACCAGGGAAGCCCCCAGGCATTCTTCCTGGCATGCCTCCTGCACTCTGGTACAGCTCGGTGGTGATGGGTTGCAGACTTTCTGCTGATGTTCAAATTCTTGCTTTTCTGAAGGCTGGTTCTTATCCAGACAGTTGATGATTTCATTGCATACGCATTGACTCTGTGTTTTCTACTTCTCTGGTAAGATTCCCTTTCTTTTTGTTTATTACCAATGTGTTTTCCTTTACCATGTTGAATATATTATGGCAGTTACTTGAAAGCTTTTTTCTGCTAATTCCAACATCCATGTCATCTCATTTGGCTTCTAAAAATTCATAACATGTTTCTGGTTTCTTATATGTTAAATGACTTGGGATCATATTGTGGATATTGTGAATTCTTGCTGTTTAGATCAAAAATGCACTTTTTCTTTCTTGTACTGAGAAATATTTCAAATTTCAATTTAGCTATTTTAGCATCAGGCTTAGCTCTTTATATGTGATTCAGGGCTCAGCAGAGAGATAGGGAGAATTTAAATTCAGAATTTAGGGCTCCCTTTCTCTGGTTCCCTGCACTCAAGGATTGCCAGCCCCTCTCCAACAGTTGTGGTGGCTCCTGGGTCCTTCTCCATGTTCCTCAGGTCAGAGAAACTTAGGGCTCTCCATCAGATTTTAGTTACCTATGCTGTGCCGCAGCTTGATCTGCCCTTACACCAAAGCAGTAAAACCAGGAATCTCACGCCATGCTGATCCCTCCCTCCAGGTTTTGGTGCTCTTTCCCCCCAAATCTGCCAGCTTCTGTTTATAGTTGGGCTTTCCTATCCATGGGATGCATTCCAAGACATTCCACAGATGCTGGAACCTTAGGTAGCATGAACCCCTGTGTATACATATGCTATTTTTGCATGGTTTTTGAAAATAATAACTTTTGGAAGTTCTAGTTCAAATATCAAAATTTCACCTATATAAAGTATGTTCAGTGGTTTCTAGTAAATGGAGAGTTGTGTAACTACCACCACTATCTAATTTTAGTACATTTTAAATTATCCCAAAGAGAAACCCTGTACCCATTAGTATCATTCCCCATTCCATACACTCTTGCCTCCAATCCCAGGCAACCATGAATCTGCTTTCTATCTCTTTAAATATGTCTATTGTAGAAATTATTTACATATGATAAAGTTTAATTTAAAATCAGACACAGTAAGATATCAGAAACAATAAGAACAAAATGGGGCCGGCGCTGGGGCTCACTTGGTTAATCCTCCTCCTGTGGTGCCAGCATCCCATATGGGCACTGGGTTCTAGTTCTGGTTGTTCCTCTTCCAGTCCAGCTCTCTGCTGTGGCCCGGGAAGGCAGTGGAGGATGGCCTAAGTGCTTGGGTGCCTGCACCCGCGTCGGATACCAGGAAGAAGTACCTGGCTCCTGGATTCAGATTGGTGTAGCTCCGGCCGTGGTGGCCATTTGGGGGGTGAACCAACGGAAGAAAGACCTTTGTCTCTCTCTCTCTCACTGTCTAACTCTACCTATCAAATAAATAAATAGATAAAAAGAACAAAATGGAGCAATTATAATAATATACTATAATGAAAGTTATGTGAATGTGTGCCCAGATTCTCTCTGTACTGTACTGTAGTTTTGGACCATGGTTGATTAAAGGTAGCTGAAACCATGGGAAAAAAAACAGGATGGGGGGAACTAATGTACTCTCAAGAATCCTCAGACAGTTGCTTTATGTGTTTGAAAGTTTTGTATTTAATTGACACGGTTATACATATTTGTGGGATACACTGTCAAATTTCAATACATGTATATGAGGGTACTTCAGAAAGTTCTAGGAAATGGAATTGAAGATAAGTTTGTTTTGGTGCAAGAAATTTTGAAATACATGCATAGCTTTTTCAAAATACACATTTTTCACGAACTTTTTAAAGAACCCTTCATATATTGTGTAACGATCAAATAGGGTAATTAGTGCACCTGTCAATACAAACATCTATCATTTCTTTGTGGTGAGAACATACAAAATCCTCTCTCTGGCTGTGCTGTAGGACACTAGAATTTAAATGCTTATGGAACACTGCTGTGCTGTAGCATATCAGAACTTATTCCTTCTTTCTAGTGGTAATCTTATACTCATTAACCATTCTACCCTCCTTTTGTCCAGAAGCTACATCTATCTCTGGAAGGGTCTGTTATGAACTACTTAGATATACTGGACCCAGCTTTAGACTCTATGTTGTAAGTTTTGCTTAAATATCACATTTATCCAAGAATTTAGTTGAGTAATTTGTTTATCTCTGACTTAAGGGTTGAATAAATATCTGAAGAGGTAGATATCGATAAATGTACATTCTTTTTTTTGTAAAAAAATGATTTATTTATTTATTTGAAAGGCAATTACAGAGAGAGGGAAAGGGAGACAGGGAGAGAGAGAGGGAGGGAGGGAGAGGGAGAGAGCGCTTCCATCTGCTGGTTCACTCCCCAAATGGTTGCATGGCCAGGGCTGTGCCAGTCTGAAGCCAGGAGTCAGAAGTTTCATTCAGGTCTCCCATGTGGACACAGACCCAAGAACTTGGGCTATCTTCCCCTGCTGTCCCAGGCACATTAGCACGGAGATGGATCAGAAGTATAGCACCCAGGACATGAACTGGTGCCCATGTAGGACGTGAGTGTTGTAGGCAGTGGTTCAATCCGCTGCACCAGACCCTGAATGTACATTCTTATCACATAAGCTTTACCCCTGCTCAACATATGGAAGGTGATTTTTAAAAACCATTATAATGGGGGCAGGCACTGTGGTGTAGCGGGTAAAGCTGTCACCCACAGTGCTGGCATCCCATATGGGCACCAGTTCAAGTCCCGGCTGCTCTACTTCCAATCTAGCTCTCTACCAAGGCCTTGGAAAATAGAAGATGGCCAAAGTGTTTGGGCCCCTGCACCTATGTGGGAGACCTGGAAGAAGCTCCAGGCTCCTGGCTTTGGATTGCCTCAGCTCCAGCTGTTGTGGCCATTTGGGAAGTGAACAAGGATGGAAGATCTCTCTCTTTCTCTCTGTCTTTGCCTCTCTGTAACTCTGCCTTTCAAATAAATAAATAAATCTAAAAAACATTATAATGAATTAGTAAATTTAAGTAAAAATAAATACAGGAAGTGGGCAAAATTTCTCAGTGAACACTTAGGTATTTATGAGAGCCATGTGGCATAAATTAAAATATGAGACCTTTTTATTAAGGAAAAGAGGGAGTGCTATGAAAATATTTCTTTACAGCACTATTTCTTTACTCTGAAATAATAATTTTGGAGACAAAGGAAAAGTAGATTAATTGGCTTATTTAGTACTTTTTAAAGATATATTTTATTTATTTGAAGAGAAGGAGGGAGGAGGGAGAGGGGAAGAGGGAGTTCTTCTATCAGCTGGTTCACTCCTCAAATGGCTGCAATGGCCAAGGCTGGGCCAGGCTAAAGCCAGGAGCCAGGAACTCCATCTGGGTCTCCCATGATGGGGGGCAGGAGCTCAAGCATTTGGGACATCCTCCCAGGTGTTTGAATAGTGAGCTGGATCAGAAGTGAAGCAACTGGGACTTGAACTGGCACTCCTGTGGGATGCTGACATCATGATGTCAGCTCCTATTTATCAATTGAGGAGATAAGTATAAATAAACAGATAAATTTGAGGGAGCACTTTGGCATATTTAACTGAAATTTGGATGTGCATCCTTTTACCTAAGGATAAATACACAGACATGTGCATGCATATACTTTTGGAAATGTACCTAAATTTCAATCACAGAGTAAAAATAAATTATGAACTATCCACATAGTGAATATTATGTAGTCTTTAGTGAGAAGGAAGCAGTACTATATGTACTGACATGAAAGGATGTCCATCATTTTTTTAAGTAAAAGTGAAAAAAGTAAAGTTACACAATATTGGGTAGGGTATGGTTCCATTTTGGTAAAGTTCCTAGGTGTGTGTATTCATATATGCATAGGTAAAGTCTGGAGGAATGTACAGTTATCTGTTCATGGTTTAGTCTATAGGAGAAAAAGATTTTAAAGGACTTTCACTTTTACTGATTTTAACATTCTGAATTAATTGAATGCGGCACAAGGAACATTTTTTTAAATATTAATCACAGGAAATCTACAGCCTGACTTTATCAGGGCTGTTGTTACTTAATAGGTTATCAAATATCATAATTGATCCTTGGAAAGAATGACTTTTTGTTTTAACTTGAAAATCCCCTTTATTTCTTAATTCCTGCTAGTTTAAGGAGGACTAAATTTCCCTATCCTATGAGGCATGGCTGTCCAATGTATCCTAAATGTACAATGACTTATGAAACAATAAATTTTTCATATACAGCTGAGATTTTTAAATGAACTTATGATAACTGGATAAAAGCAATGCTAGTTCTGCTGGAGAGTACTGTAAAAACCAATCACAGGAGACTGTGATGAAATTTTAATTATAAAGGATATTGAATATCCTAATGTGACAACTGTTAGAGTAGATGTAACACTGAATTGTGAAGAGGGAAAGCGAGATTTTTATTCAGTGTTGCTTGAAAGCAGCTCTGTATAGTAAATTGTTGAACGATTCTATTTCAACTTTCATATCTTAAAGTTACCATTGTATTTTCTTTGGTTCACTAGATTTATTAGGGAATTGGCCAATAGAATTAGCTAGAGAAAAGTCACATTAAAATAAAGTGTTAATTGATTTGGGAGTTTTGTGTGTATTTTCTTTGTGTTCTGTGCTGAAAAGCTGAAGCTGGCATTAATCAAAGCATATTGTTGTAGGTGCAGTTTGAAGGATTTTGCGGTCTTTGAGACCACTAGCTCAGAGATACCATATGAATAGAAACTACCAGATTTTTCTTCTCAATCCTGTCAGCCAAGTATAGCATGTTTCCTTTGCTTGTGATAGAAAAAAGAAAAAAAAGAAAACACTGAGGCAAAACTGAACAATCTAGAAGTCATTTACAAATAGCTTTAAGAAGATGAACTCAGGGGCCAGCACTGTGGTATAGCAGGTGACGCCGCTGCCTGCAGTGCCGGCATCCCATATGGGTGCCGGTTCTAGTTCAGGCTGCTCCACTTCTGATCCAGCTCTCTGCTGTGGCCTGGGAAGGCAGTGGGGAATGGCCCGAGTCCTTGGGCCCTGCACCTGCATGGGAGACCAGGAAGAAGCTCCTGGCTCCTGGCTCCTGGCTCCTGGCTTCAGATCGGTACAGCTCTGGCCATTGCAGTCAATTGAAGGGTGAACCAGTGGATGGAAGACCTCTCTCTCTACTTCTTCTCTCTGTGTGTAACTCTGACTTTCATATAAGTAAATAAATCTTAAAAAAAAAAAAAAAAGATGAACTCTGATTAGGGAAGGGTTTAAATGCTATTAATTACCTCATCAAAATTTCCTAAGGTATCTTTTTCTTTTTTTAAGATTTATTTATTTATTTGAAAATCAGGCATACACAGAGAGAGGAGAGGCAGAGAGAGAGAGAGAGAGAGAGAGAGAGAGAGAGAAAGGTCTTCCATCTGCTGGTTCACTCCCCAGATGGCCGCAACAGCCAGAGCTGCGCTGATGCAAAGCCAGGAGCCAGGAACTTCTTTGGGGGTCTCCCACACGGCTGCAGGGGCCCCAGGACTTGGGCCATTTTCTACTGCTTTCCCAGGCCATAGCAGAGAGCTGGATTGGAAGTGGAGCATCTGGGTCTCAAACCGGTGCTCAAATGGGATGCCGGTGCCTCAGGCCAGGGCATTAACCCGAAAAGAGACATTTAAAACTCGTAAAACATATTAACATTTTTATCTTATTAGGGGGATTTATATTTTATGCACCTTTTTGTGTGCTGTACACTTAACCTCTGAAGGAATTATAAGAGAATCTATTAAAGCTGGCTCCTTGGCGCTACTCCGCCTGCAGCGCTGGCATCCCATATGGGTGCCGATTCTAGTCCTGGCTGCTCCTCTTCCAATCCAGCTCTCTGCTGTGGCCTGGGAAAGCAGTAGAAGATGGCCCAAGTCCTTTGGCTCCTGCACCCACATGGGAAACCAGGAAGAAGCTCCTGGCTCCTGGCTTCGGATCGGCGCAGCTCTGGCTGTTGCGGCCATCTGGGGAGTGAACCAGTGGATGGAAGACCTTTCTCTCTGTCTCTCCGTCTCATTATCTGTAACTCTACCTCTCAAATAAATAAATAAAATCTTTCAAAAAATAAAAAAGAGAACCTATCACAAGGAATACATGAACTGTAGAGTGCTAAGGTATCAGGATGCTAAGGGAATCCCAAAAAAGGCAGCAATTACTTGATACTCTGAATATATAAATGGATGATTTTAAGAGTTTACCTTTCTTAGAGGTACATGTTTGTCTGTTTCCAAGCAGCAAACACAATGGGCATAGAAAGCAGAAACTGGGCCTTCAGGATATGAACTCAGATCACATCTTGGAAAACAGTTCAAATTCAAGGTGCCTTAACAGTATCTAAATGAATGCTTTGGCTGGAATCCACTTGGGAACAAGGATGTTTTTTAGTGCCAGATTCTCATCTTATTTTATTCTGTGGCTAAAATCCCAAAAATTACAGAGGAGAAATGGCCAAACAAGGTTTTCTATTAAAATAAGAGGCCTTGAGTGATGAATGAAAACTTGGAATGGTTTTAATGGCAATACTCAAAGCCAAAAGTTAGCTTAAATACCAACTTAAAGAATTTGGGCATGTATTGACTCTCAAATGGAATATTGGTACTAATTTTAGTGAATTAAAAACATGGTTTAATTTAGGAAGTTGCAATTCTTGTTCCAGAATAGCTTAGCTGGCTGCTGGATTGACCTGAATACTTGCTCCCTCTTTGTCTTGAGTCATTGATAAAATGTTGAATGGGGTAAAACTGAGTGTGGATGCCTACAATTTCCAACTAGAATTTCCTTCTAGGTTGAAGTATTCCATTAATAAACACCCTTGAGTGAACCAACGGAAGGAAGACCTTTCTCTCTGTCTCTCCCTCTGTGTGTAACTCTACCTCTCAAATAAATAAATAAATAAAATCTTAAAAAAAATAAACACTCTTGGGCACTGTTATTCAAACAGTTATGAAATTACCAGCCGGCGCCGCGGCTCACTAGGCTAATCCTCCGCCTTGCGGCGCCCGCACACCGGGTTCTAGTCCCGGTCGGGGCGCCGGATTCTGTCCCGGTTGCCCCTCTTCCAGGCCAGCTCTCTGCTGTGGCCAGGGAGTGCAGTGGAGGATGGCCCAAGTCCTTGGGCCCTGCACCCCATGGGAGACCAGGTGAAGCACCTGGCTCCTGCCTTCGGATCAGCGCGGTGCGCAGCGCGCCAGCTGCGGCGGCCATTGGAGAGTGAACCAACGGCAAAGGAAGACCTTTCTCTCTGTCTCTCTCCCTCACTATCCACTCTGCTTGTCAAAAAAAAAAAAATTACCTAACTCTACTGTCTAGTGAAAAATATAGAATTATAAGATATTTTCTAAATAAATAACAACCTGTAATATTCTATGATTCTTGTTAGAACATCTTGATTGGGTATACAATAGAAAAAGTAAAACCCTAAAATAACCAGCTTGATTTTTTTCTATTACCATTACACAGTCTGTCTCAAATCGTTAGCCTTTGTTGTCACTTTTCCAGAGATGGCTTGAATTGCTGCTAAGCAATTTTGAGACACCTCAGCTGAGTATCAATAGTATATTTGTTTCTTAAAATTAGATTTAGAGGATCCCTCCCTGAGAACCAATTGTTAGTGGTAAATATTTAGCTGATATATTCTGTCTGCAGGAAGGGAGATGTGAAAAAAGTCAGCTGTCATTTTTACAAAAATCTTTTATCTTCCCTACGAATGGGCATTGTACCTGTGAATGCGTTGGAAAGTATTTTCCTTCTGGAGATGCATGAAGATCAGAATCCTGTTCCTTTTTAACAAAATGGAGCTTTAAAAACTACTTTGGGCCACAATTAAACATGAGGGATGTGCCATTTTTTAAATTTTTAAATGTTAAATTTATTTATTTGAGTCACAGAGAGAACTCCCATTTGCTGGTTTACTCTTCAAATACTCCCAGATCTGAGGCTGGGCCAGGAACTCAAAAACAGTACTCACGTGTGGGTGAAATGGACCCTCCTACTTGAGCATCGCTTGGTGCCTATCAGAGTGCACATTAGCAGGAGGCTGGAATCTGGCGCAGAGCTGGGACTCAAGCACACGTGATGCGGGTGTCTCAAGCAGCATAAACCACGGGGCCAAACATCTGCCCTAAGGATGCTTGTTTGTCTACTTTTTAAAAACTAAATAACATAGGTTCTGTGGAGCAATCTAAAGACACAAGGTACTTCTGTGTATTGGCAGATACTTTTATAGTAGTCATCCCAAAACTTGATCAAACTAATAAGCATGTTCTTTGGCCCTAAGGCCAGAGGACTGTTTGTTTTCCCAAAGGAAAATGATTTGTAATGATGTTAATAATGAAGAAAGGAAAATTTATGTGAATTAGGAAAGTTTATGAGTGCCAGCATTTTTCCTGTAGGCTTAATTCTGTTGTGTTGTGATTGGTTTTGTTCTTTTGCCCAGTGATCTCATCATGGATGCATTTCACAAATATAATTAAGAAACACAATTGAGGAATACTATTTCGAAATCCTTGTCTAGCATAGGAGTAAAAGTACTGTATCCTGTCTTTTCATGGTTCTTCTTGCATCAGGTCCCTTTGTTTTGAGCAAGGAGTATCTTTATAATTTATAATTTTAATATGAAATAGAGTGATAACATACTACTTTTGGGCACAGTCTTTCTTAGGGTCCAGCAACTTTATTAGTGGCATTCAGTTCTCCAAGTTTGAAATGTTTCATTTCAAATTTTCATTGGACAATTTTAAATGAAAAAATCTGTAGGGAAACCATTGCAGGTTCTTGATTCCTTTGCCCATAAGACATGCTCTGTGTACAGCAATGAGGGAATGCCTGAGTTGTAGCAGCTGTTCATGCATTTGCTAAAAATAGGAGTTGGAGAAAATGAAGCAACTAACAGTTACTTATTGAGAGTCTCTAAGATTTCCTACACTGTGAAGGAGACACAGAAATACATGACATGGCTCCTGTTAGGTTCTCATAATGAAAGAGATAACATTAAAGTATTTAGATGAATAAAAGAATGACATATATCTCAGGGCTGGCGCTGTGGCACAGCAGGTTAAAGCCCCAGCCTGCAGTGCTGGCATGCCATATGGGCACCAGTTCTAGTCCTGCCTGCTCCACTTCTGATGCAGCTCTTTACTATGGCCTGGGAAGGCATGGAAGAAGACCCAGGTCCTTGGGCCCCTGCACACAAGTGGGAGACCCAGAGGAAGCTCTTGGCTCCTGGCTTCCCATTGGCTCAACTCTGGCCTTGTGGCCATTTGGAGAGTGAACCAACAGATGAAAGATCTGTCTCTGTGTCTCTACCTCTCTCTGTAACTCTTTCAAATAAATAAAATCTTAAAAAAATGACAGCATTCAGAGATGTGCTGCAGACTGTGAAAGTGTTTAAAATAGACTCTGTTTCATGGATTAGGTGGGTTTTGATCTGGGCCCTGAAAATGTACAAGTATATAAGGCTTAGAAGGGGGTGGGTGGGAAGAAACTATTTCTGCTCAGAATTGCACAAATGAATTTACAAAATTTAGTTCTGTTCAAAAAAACATTAATTGAGCATCTCTGTGCCAAGCTCTATACTGAGTGGTGGAGATTACAGTATATAAAGGAACTACCCTGTACTCGGTTGCAAAAGTATTTCTGTATGTCCTAAAAATGTGAATCTCTTGTGAAGACACACATCCTTTAAAGGAAATCTTATGACAGAAGTCTGTTTCTCTTGGTGATATAAAAAGGGGTTGGTTTTTTGTTTTTGTCTTGTTTTCAAAATATAGGCTAAATTCTAGAGCTAAATGAGAAAGCTTAACTTTGGTGCACTTTCATCTTCCCCATCATCACAGGTTTCTTATCTGGCATCATTATAGATGCATGTCTGTGTTTGATACTGAGGGGCCATGCTATATAGAGACTGTCAACTAAGGTGTTACCTGGTAATAATAAACTGCTGCATTTAACAGCGACAGTCACTGTACAAATCGCTTGACATATATTATCTCATGTAATCGCAATAGATATCACTCAATATTGTTTTCCCCAATTAAGCCAAGCAGACTGAAGCTAAGCACAGCCACACACTGGCAGAGGTTTGCCTGACTCCAGGTTCTGTGTTCTTAGTAACTGTTCTGTTCTGCTTTCTAATTGCTCATTCTTGAAGGTCCAAGGGAAGGAATGCATAGTGGTGTGGGTGAGGCATAAGCATTAATATTTGCAGAACAGGCACTTACCAACAGTTGGAACAATCACATTCCAACAACTGGCAAGGTTGGCAGGAGCCTCAGTAGAGTAGTGTGGGGAGCTAAGTCATCCTAGTGCCAAATGCAGAGTACACTATCTCTTTAATACGCTCTCTTTGAAAAGGAGGGTGACTGTGTTGGCCCTGTGTTTCCCTTCCTAATCTAATTACTTGAGAGAGTAAACACTAGTTGGAGCTTCCGATCTTAAAACATCAAAATGGACAACCTGGCAGGTGTCCTTGCTGGAAGATGACAAGATTGCTGAAAGACAGGTCCTGCTTTTTTCCCAAGACGTGACACTCGGGGACTTCCATTACAAACATCACTGAGCCTCTGTCACTCTAATCTCTTCTGTAAGTGCCTGTGATTTTTTTCAGGGGCACAGGGCCACGCATGGTCAATACCCAGTGGCCAGGTTTCTGAGCCGTGGGCAGAGGTGGCAGCGACTGGGAGGGCTGGGAGGCAATGTGGGAAAGGAAGGTCACTTTTCCTGACAACTTATAACTTGATTCCACTTATAAGCCATTTGTTTTCAGAAATAAGTAATGGGTGAGGACATAGGCCAGGCCTACAATTTGTGCACTTGGGAGATTAAGGCTCTGTGAGATCAAATTACCACGGCAAACAGAGACAGAGTTGCAGTGGGGATGTTCAGGGAGGGTACAGACTGGGAAAAGCCAGAGTCCAGAGAAAGGAGGCAGGAATAGATTCTGATGGAAATTGCTTCCCACTCTGCATCCTTGAGGGAACAAAGAGGACAAATGAGCAGCAGCGGTGATAGGAAGAAGCTGGGAGTTTTCTCTGGGTTAGATTGGTTAGGGCGGGCAGACTTGGTAGTGAGTGCACTTAGCGGGTAGAAGGCAGGGGTACGCTAGGTCAGGCCTTTGAAATCTAGGTGTTAGGATTAAGACCTTGGCTCCCTCAGCTGTTCCTCGAGGAGGGAGGCATGTCAAGTGTCAGGTCTTACTCTGGCTTTTTTCCAGTCCAGAGCTAGAAAATGACCCACAGAGGGAGATCTGAGAAGGCTAAAGGATGCTGGGAGATGAGGAAGAGAAAGGACATTTTGGTGGGTGCTTTTGGCACGTGGAGCAATAGATGAAAACCTCTGTGGAAGACGAGAGAGAAGGCCTGGGAAGAATGACACAGCATGGAAAGACTTCCCTCTGCATTCTCTGCTGAAGAGACTGCTGTGTGTTGCCTCTGCAGCAACACAAGGGAAGTCTTGGGGGCACAGAGAGGCAGAAGTCTGTAGGAGCCCTGTATTTATAGAAGATGAGCTGCAGCCACTGAAATAACTGGCAATTGTAAAAATAAAGCCCAGCCTCCCACGTTTTGCTTAATAACAGATTTTTTTTTTAAACTGCAATGCATTAATGGAGTTGGAGTTCCAGCCTGGCTTGGGGGATCAAGACTAACTCTTGATTTCATGGTTTTGCAGGCTCTTGAAAACATTGTCATTCATTAAAGAAAAAAATTAAATCACTCTTGAAAGAAAAAGATTTGAAGTAAGATTAGGAAAAGGATAGACTCTCTTAGAATTTTTATCAGGCTTTCCCCTATTGTGATCAAAACGGGTCAAGTAAGATCCCTGTGCCGGCAGCTTCATGGAGCCAATTTTAAAAAGAGCATTGTAAACACCGAAACGCTGGTGATTTGCCAGGGCACACACGGAAAGGCTGGATGTTGGATCCCAGGCTTGCGCTTGCCACCCCCCACATCCCCACTCCTCCCCCTTTGCCTAGGAGTTTAACACTTTCTGGAGTACTTCAGAGTGTTCCAGGGCAGGTCCTCCGCACCTGCAGAGCCCTTGCTTGCGATTGTTTCCTTTGAATGTTGGAGCTGTCGCCCAGGTGCCGGTACTTAACTGGGGCCCCTCCGTTTATTTTTCTGGATTGCGCTTGAAAATTGTTTTCCTGGGAAGCTGAGAGCTGGAGTTCTAGGGACTTTACTGCTTTCCCCCACACTAATCTCCTTACAAGACCCGTTAGGCAGGCGCGAGACCGTGGAGACTGGATGAGCAGTGCGTTGGGGGCAGGGAGGAAGGGAGTGGCCGAGTTCCTGCGGTCGGCTGCTGGGAGCCGGCGGGTCCCGGCTGGGGAGGGGCCTGGAGCGGCTGGAGCGGCTGAGCAGTTCGGGGTCGCCGTCTGCCACCTGGGTGCGGAATCCACGCAGGACTTGCTCAGCGCTCCCCCCGCCCCCTCCTCCTCCCCTCCTGCTTCCTTTTCCCTCCCTCTGGAGCAGCTACGGCTGCAGCCGCAGGAAGCCGAGCGGGGCTGAGCGGCTCCGACGCGAGCAGAGGCGCGGAGATGTGGGGGAGTCAACGCAGGCGGCGGGGCCAGGAGCCCTTGGGAGGCCCGACGAGGGGAGCGGCCCCCGGCGTTTGCTAGCGCGTGAGCCGTGGGGGAGCGGCGCAGGGTGGCACGAGCGGAGGCGGAGGCGGGGCCCGGGCGCGGAGCACGGCTGGGGACGCTGCTGCCTCCGGCCCTGCCCCGCTGCCTCCGGCGCGGCCGGTGGCTATGGAGCAGGCGGGCACCAGACGTGGGGCCACAGAGCGTCCACGATCCCGGGGGCCCATGCCCTGGCTGCTGCTGCTGCCTTTCCTGATGCTGCTGCTGCTCCCACTGCCGGGCCCAGCGGCCTCCCAGCTACGATACTCGGTGCCGGAGGAGCAGGCTCCCGGCGCGCTCGTGGGCAACGTGGCTAGCGCGCTGGGGCTGGAGCTGCGGCGTCTGGGGCCCGGCTGCCTGCGCATCAACCATTTGGGGGCACCCAGCCCGCGCTACCTGGAGCTGGACCTGGCGAGTGGAGCGCTCTTCGTCAACGAGCGCATAGATCGGGAGGCGCTGTGCGAGCAGCGGCCTCGCTGCCTGCTCAGCTTGGAAGTGCTGGCGCACAACCCCGTGGCGGTGAGCGCCGTGGAGGTGGAGGTACTGGACATCAACGACAACTCGCCGCGTTTCCCGCGGCCCGACTACCAGCTTCAGGTAAGCGAATCGGTGGCTCCCGGAGCGCGCTTTCACATAGAGAGCGCGCAGGACCCCGACGTGGGCGCCAACTCGGTGCAGACCTACGAGCTCAGCCCCAGCGAGCACTTCGAGCTGGACCTTAAGCCCCTGCAGGAGAACAGCAAGGTGCTGGAGCTGGTGCTGCGGAAGGGCCTAGACCGCGAGCAGGCAGCTTTGCACCACCTGGTTCTCACAGCCGTGGACGGGGGCAGCCCGGCTCGCTCCGGCACAGCCCAGATCTCTGTGCGTGTCCTGGACACGAATGACAACTCTCCCGCCTTCGACCAGACCACTTACCGCGTCCAGCTGCGGGAGGACGCGCCCCCAGGCACACTGGTGGTGAAGCTGAACGCCTCAGACCCGGACGAGGGCTCCAATGGCGAGCTCAGCTACTCCCTGAGCAGCTACACGTCAGACCGGGAGAGGCAGCTCTTCAGTATCGACGCCAGCACCGGGGAAGTGCGAGTAATCGGGGCGCTGGATTACGAGGAGGCCTCCTCCTACCAAATCTATGTGCAGGCAACCGACCGGGGTCCAGTGCCCATGGAGGGTCACTGCAAGGTGCTGGTGGACATCGTGGACGTGAATGACAATGCCCCGGAGGTGGTGCTCAGGGATCTCTACAGCCCGGTGTCCGAGAATGCTACACCCAACACCCTTGTGGCCCTTCTCAGTGTCAACGACCAAGACTCCGGCTTGAATCAGAAGGTGAGCTTGGGCATGGAGGCCACTCTGCCTTTCCGACTGAGCGGCTTTGGCAACCCCTACACGCTGGTGGTGAGCGGCCCCCTGGACCGGGAGCGGGTGGCCGCCTACAACATCACGGTGACCGCCACTGACGGGGGAATACCACCGCTCACGTCCCAGCGGACCTTGCAGGTGGAGATCTCTGATGTCAACGACAATCCGCCGAGCTTCCTGGAGGACTCCTATGCCATCTACATCCAGGAGAACAACTTGCCAGGTGTCCTGATGTGCACGGTACAGGCCACAGACCCTGATGAAAAAGAGAATGCGGAGGTGACCTACTCTCTCCTGGAGAGGGAGATTCAAGGGCTGCCAGTCACCTCCTATGTCTCCATTAACAGTGCCAGTGGCAGCTTGTATGCCGTGAACTCCTTTGACTATGAGAAGTTTCGGGAGTTCTTTGTGACGGTGGAGGCCCAGGACAAGGGGGTCCCATCGCTGAGCAGCACTGTGACCGCCAATGTGTATGTGGTGGACGTGAATGACCACGCCCCTCACATCCTGTACCCTACCTCAACCAATTTGTCTGCAGCCATTGAGATGGTGCCTCGAACTGCCCCTGCTGGCTACCTGGTCACGAAAGTTATAGCCATGGACTCGGACTCTGGGCAGAATGCATGGCTCTTTTACCATCTAGTCCAGACTTCTGACCTGGACCTCTTTAAGGTGGAGCTGCACACAGGAGAAATCAGGACTACCAGGAAGATGGGAGATGAGAGTGGCACCACCTTCAACCTGACCGTGGTGGTCCGAGACAATGGGGAGCCAAGGCTGTCATCCTCTGTCGCCATTACAGTGGCCGTGGTGGACAGGGTTTCTAAAATCTTCCCCGACACGCAAAGACACGTGAAGAGCCCTCGGACATACTCTGAAATTACACTTTATCTGATAATTGCATTAAGCACAGTGTCTTTTGTATTTCTTTTGACAATCATTGTTTTGAGTATCATCAAGTGCTACCGCTACACTGCGTACGGCACTGCTTGCTGTGGAGGATTCTGCGGCGTGAGAGAGCGGTGCCCTGCGGAACTCTACAAGCAGGCCAACAACAACATTGATGCCAGGCTACCCCATGGCCTCAAAGTGCAGCCTCACTTCATTGAGGTTCGAGGGAATGGCTCCCTCACCAAGACTTACTGCTACAAGGCCTGTCTGACAGCAGGCTCAGGGAGTGACACGTTCATGTTTTACAACACAGGCGCCCAGACAGGACCAGGGCCTGGGGGGGCCCAAGCGGCAGTGACAGACAGCAGGCACCTCACAGGCCAAAGTGGGCAGAGTGCTGGGAACCTGATTATTCTCAAAAATGAGGCTGTTTCTCAAAATGAGGTGAGACGGTGGTCAAGGGGTCTTCCACGAAGCTAGCGTCATGTGGTTGGTCTTACGGACTTGTTAGCAGGGGCAAGAATTATCTGGTAACCTGAGTATAAATAGTCTCTAATTTGTTCTTAATCTGCTATGTTGCCTGTCTAGAAAAGTAACATGGGAGAATTTGTTTTGCTTCTCATTTTTGTTTCTGGTATATGAGTACATACCCAGAACATTCTTTGCAAAGTAACAACCAGTCTTAGATATGTGAGGTTAAAGCACAGTACTATAGAGAAATAGACTGGCTTGGGCCTGAGGGTTACGTTTCAGGGAGCAGCATGATGGGATTCAAGGAGAAAAGGCCTCTGCTAGATCATCTATAGGAAAAGTTGGGTTTCTTTAATCCTATAGGAGTATATTTTTTTAAAAAAACCTCTTAAACCTATAGGGCCTGTCATGGTCAACTCTATAGACTTTTCCCTGTTTATGTCTTGTGTTGTCTACTGTGCAAGTTGTCCAGTTAATCTCTCCTGTAACTGCCCTGAAATAATATGATAAGATCCTCTGGAAATTCATGTGAGCAGCATCAGAGAATGTGAACCTTGTCCTGAAGCCAAAGCTTGCTTTGGTGCTGTGACGTCCTAACTCTTCTATAGGGGGCTGTCAGAGGAAATGAGTGATGTCATTTGTCTGGGTGGACCAGGGAGATTTTAGAATAAGTGGACTAAGGATGGTGAAGACCAGGACAAGCTGGGCTTGAACAGGAAGAGAAGGGGCAAAGAACTCTCCCACCAGCCACCTTTCTTGGCATACTCCGAATTCATCGTAGGAGGATATCCCTGGTACTTTAGTAGTCTGTAATCTTCTGATTTCCTGTTGACAGTTCCTGTGGTCTTGAGGAGCTGTAAAGTAGCCTTTTCAAGCCCCTAATTCTTTAAGTGACAAGACCTCAAGGCACACGTTCATTTTCTAAATCTAAAAATCTGGTTTGGCAATAACCACAAAAGGCTTGGAAAGTGGATGCCTTACTGGACATGAATACAGGTGTTAGCATATGCGCTGGTTCTGAGCTCTAAGAAGGCGTAACTCCAGTGTATTCATTATTGTGAAGAAGGTACGTAAATTGCTGGAAAGTGCATGGGTGTGTGTGTAGTATGTTGTCTCCACGTGTGTGCTTGAAATGATAGACACCCGCTGTGTGATTCTTTAAACTTAGGTCTTAAGAGCCAAGATTTTTTCCCATACATAGTGATGAATTATCTTTTGAAATAACTACTTAGTAGGTAGGAATTTTAAAGCTAGTTTTTGTCTGTTCTGTGTTCTTGTGATGCTTTTTCATTCTCACATCACTGTCTTTTTATCAATGTCCATATTGTCACATGCCAAGTTCATGATAATCTTGGATGTAATGCAGAAGCACAGTTTCCTGTTTCTGGTTGAGAATAGATTTTTCGCATGGATGTTGTAGATAGATTTATCCATTTTTCAGAAGAGCCTGATGTTAGTCAGTGCTGAGAAGCCACTTCAGACAGATTGCAGATTAAGAAAAATAGAGAGGGGGAAAATCAAAGTTCCCAGAATGCTTTAGATCATACCTTTTGGAAGCATGTAAAAGGGCTTAGCTTTAAATGAGGATGTTGTAGACATTTGCTTAACAAACTCCTGTGAAGCCCCTTGGGATTGGGGTGGGCTGCAGGTGGTGAAGAGGCACAGAGCAAGGGGCAGCCAGGGCGCAGCTTTGCTGCCAGCTGTGAGCCAAAGGCTGGGAGGGTACCGCTCTCACCCTCCCTTCCTAACTCAAAGCTTGGGGCAGTTTGATACGTGAACTATTTCTGTCTTACACTGACCTGGGTGTTAACTGGTACTGTGGTACACAAACCTTTAATCTAGGGAGAACATTGTGTCAGAAGGTCCTAGCTCTTGTGGGGTTTTGCCAGGAGGTGATTTTAACAAAGGCAGATTTCTACCAGATATGATCGGGAATTCAGTGAAGAGCCCCAGGATTGAGAGCTCCTGAGATTCTCATGGTTATCCGGAGAAAGGGAGCCGCTGTGGTACGGCGTGGCAAAATGGGAACAAAAAGTCACTGGGTTCTGAAGGTCATTATCACCAGAGCAATCTGTCAAATTCCCAGCCTGGGCTTGCTTTATTCCCTTCCAGTTACTGCAGATGGCGAGAGGGTCCTGGGGAGCAGCTAATGCCCTGTGCCTACAGTAAAATTAGATGGTGAGTGGGAAGGGAAAGTCGAGGATTTGTACTCACTGCCCACCGTGCTCCATAGAAAGTGTTCTGCTTTGCCACAGGAGTTCACTGTCTGTAAGTCATGGAGTAAATAAAGGTTTGTCAACATCTAGCGTGTGAGGAAGTAGGCCTGGGAGTTAGGTGAGCAGTCACACTGCCAGTGGCATTCTAAGAAGTCATCCCTGTCTGACTCCAAACTGCTTTTTTCAATAGTATAAATAGACAGAAATCCCAGTGTTTATACTTCTTTTGATAAGGAATATGCAGGCATTTCAGCCACCAGTAGTTCATCTGATAGTGTAAATGAACTGCTTTTGGAAGAAAATAACTCCTTGCATAGAAACAGTTAACAAATTGGTGAGGAAAAATGTTGCTCTCAAACTCATATATTTTTATTTGTTTATTTGCTTTATTATTGGCAAAACCTGTTAAAACCTTGTATCTCAGTAGTTCTCCTAATGATTTTTCTCTCATTGCTCATTAAGCATCAGCATTCAGCACCACACTGATCTTGGGGTGGATTTTTACCCCCATTGAGCTTACTTCATGAGTCACTTGTGCAGTGAGGTTTTTAAAGTAACGGTCTGGCAGTGGGGCAGAATTTGTCTTTGGAGGTTTGGGAAAACCTGATTTTGAAGGCAGTGGCACTCCCTTCAGAGTCTCTATGAAAAGAAGCTGAATCTTAAGGTAGATTCTGTGCATTTGCGATCTTCATACTGTGATTGCTAATGAGTTACTTTGAGTACGCTGAGCAGATCTGTCCAGCTGGGCCTCAATGGGACAAGTTGGCACAACACGTGGAGATGACTTACGTTTGCATTCACTTTGACTTATTGTAAAGCACTTTGCTGCCACCTCACCTTCAGTTATATCTGTCAGCCTCCTATACGTATTCGCCCTAGTTCCAAAAGTAGTGACCTAACCCACTTCTCAGTGGTATGCAATTTTGTTTCTCACAGGACTGATTTTGTGTGTGGTGATTCTTCTGAAACAGAATGGACACTGTGTAAAGTGACTTGATGATAGGGCCGGTGCCATGGCTCACCAGGCTAATCCTCCACCTGTGGCGTCAGCCCCCCAGGTTCTAGTCCCAGTTGGGGCATTGGATTCTGTCCCGGTTGCTCCTCTTCCAGTCCAGCTCTCTGCTGTGGCCCGGGAAGGCAGTGGAGGATGGCCCAAGTGCTTGGGTCCTGCATCCGCATGGGAGACCAAGAGGAAGCACCTGGCTCCTGGCTTCAGATTGGCGCAGCCATAGCGACCATTCGTGGGGTGAATCAACGGAAGGAAGACCTTTCTCCCTGTCTCTCTCTCTCTCACTGTCTAACTCTGCCTGTCAAAAAAAAATTTTTTGTTAAAGTGACATGATGATGAATTTGTAAGAATTGCACAATGGTCAGAAGGGACAAAAACATTGCATCTCTGAATTACCATTCCAGTTTGTTATCCTGTGAGGGCCACTTGTTAGTGGGCGGGGCTCTTTTGGTTTTGACATTTTCATATTGGTTAGAGGACAGTTCTGAGAAAAAGGTTTGTTTTCTTCAGTTTGGTAATATGATCATCTCTTCAAATTACCTCCTTCCTCGATTTTCCTGGAGAGTGCTGAGCCAGATAGAATTATGGCCGAGCTCTTCTCTGATTCTTTATCTTGTACATATTCTGACTGATGGAGAAATCTGTTTGTTGTGGCTTGGATGGATGTCATTGGCCTGCCCTTTCCTCTGACCCAGGAGTGAGCCGTCACATGGGCATCTGGTCTAACCCACAACACTCTGCAGGGACACAGCCTGGCAGGTTACACTTTGTCTGTTGGCATGCTGTCTCCTTGATGGAATAGCAGGCACTTCTGGATCCTTGCCTTGGTTGGCTACCACTTTTGCTTTCCATGACAGGTCAGAATGATGTCCGTTTGCAAAACATTCGGGGGAAATTGCCATCACTATTTCCAGAGGTTTAGTGAAATTTGATGGAGTTTTACACATGTCTTTGAATGTGACTTTTATAGGACCTCACTGGAATCTATGTTTTCATGCGTATTAGAATATAAATTTAGCTGATTTATGTGATAATATCTTGAGCTGTGTAATCTATAATCATGATTTCAAAAATCAAAAGTGAAGAGGATTCCTTAGCAGTATTTCCAACCTGCTAACCTAAAAATTATGCAAGCTTTTTTCTCTAAAGTATCTGAACTTGACAAAATGCACAGACATATCTGACAAGAGAAATGTTAGTTCCTTGGGCATCGAAGCATCATCATATCCTTTCTGGCCTTGCTGGGTCAGAAGTCTGGGTTCTGGGGAGGATCAGCTATGAGTGGGAGAGTAGCTGCTGCACCAACAGTCTGTGCAGCCAGAACGAAGCAGACATGGCACTTTCTGTTGATCTGGAATCTGTTAGATACGCTCTAAAGTCATGCTTGCTTTACTTTCCTGCTCTGTGGATTAGGTTGTAAATGACTGTTCAGATGCAAGAATTTCACTAGGAAAGCTCACATTTATCATTTTTCAAAATTTTGATTTTGCAATATAACAGTGATTATTTTAAATGTTAGAATCCTCTCTGTCTTAATGTTCAATGAAATGGTGCACACATTCCTTTTCTGTTGCTTCAGAACAAATGACCAAAAATTAGTGGTTAAAACCCCACTCATTTAGCATCTCACAGTCCGGCACCACGTGGCTGAGTTTTCTTCCTAGGTGTTCGCAAGACTGAAATCAACGTGTTGGCTGGGCTGGGTTCTTTGAATGTTCTGCTCTCATGCTTGTTCAGATTGTTGGCAG